TAATTAGTGGCAAACTTCTACATGTATGAGTTCAAATTTCTTTGGAAAAACTCATTTAGGAGAAGTTACTTGGGAAACCCTTGTGAAAAATAATTGCTTTCTGTACTCTTGTTAACAATGCAGTGATCAGCTCTGAGTGTGTGCTGGGATTGCAGCCTCTCCCTCCTGCCACATTCTTATCAATTATCCTATTTCTAAAGGAAAAATAAAATATTTTAGTAGAGAAGATAAAAGTGATAGAAAAATCCAAAGAAACAACCTAGGGATAAAAACAATTTTGGAAGAGAAAAGGCATAAACCCATTTGTGCATATGCATTTTAACATGGAGTTAATAAAGAGTTCTGTAAAGAATCTGGAGTGGTACTTGGCTTGTCTAGTTTGCCCTTTCCCAGACTGGAAACATGCATCTGCTGCTACAGGTTTCTTAGACTGGTTATAGACTTTCACACTAGCTTAAAAGCACATAGCATACAGTAGCTGCACATGTTGCACAAATACATAAATAAGGATATACTAATTTCAGTCAATTTTACTTCAGCCTGGAACACAGGCATATCAACAGAAAAGGTGCATTAGCAAGACTGGATTAGATAAAGTGCAGAACACAGAGAAAGCGTCTCTCTGTAGCATTGGTTTGTTACTGGTGATGAGAATAAGGCTTTGACAGAGAGAAATCATTGTAAACTCCAGCTGTGAACATGTATTATTGTCTCTTGTATGGACAAATATAAGTGTCTCTCAGGTATCATTTGATTTCAAACTGTCAGCTGGAATTTGTGTTGCTGCTGATGACGACACCAGAAGGGCTATTGCAAAACATATATATTTTTAATAAAAACACCATATCTCCTTGGCAGATTGAGAACGGCTTGAGAACGCTGTGGAACAATTTTTAAGGCCACTGCTTTTACAATATTCAACTTGCTATTCTCCTTAGAATGCATTTTTGAGCAAAAACCTGATAATGTGCCTACTGCAAGGATGATTTATTGTTCATGCCCAGATGAGTGTCATCCACAATCTGCAACAAAAGCAAAAGTAGATGTGCAAAGACAGGCTGCTTTGCACCTACTGAAAACACACAGATGGGCAGGAGAAAAACTATTCTGGAGTTCTCTCAGCTTGGTGTTGCTTTGTTTTAAAGGTATGAAATGTTTACAAAGCCCGCAAAATTAATTCAATACACAGCTCCTTGAAAAAATCACACATTGTGATTCAAGAGTTGTGGAAAAGAAATAAATAGCCAAAGCCTCAAAATATTTCTGGCGTTTGAGATACTTTCCATGCTATGTTATTCATGAAGCATGGTCTTGCTGGAACTTGCAGGTCTCCAAATGGCAGTACAGAGACATGAGCAAAATTTGCAAGTCTAAATACTAATTTGCAACAGACATGACATTATTCACTGAATGATTTGTCATACCAAGCAGTGAGCAATAAATTGGGATCTATTTTTCAGTAATCTAATATTGTTTCAAACCAGCATGTCACAGCTTTAAAATAATAAGCTGTGAGCTAGATTGATCACTATCATTCAAATATGGCCTCATTTATCAATTAAGTCTTCATTTGTTGGAGCATGATATTAAGATGGAGAACATTTTTTCTTCTGCATTTATGTAGAAATATATTTGCCATATTGGAGGAAATAGGAATACACGTCACACACAGCTAATCATGAATACAAAGCAAGTGGAATTTCCTCCCAGAGCTGTAGGCAACAGCTTGTTGGCTCCACAACATTCTTGCCATTTACTTAAGTTCTTGTGGGTTATGTTCACATCTCATATTGTATCCACCAACACAGAACTTACTCCTCGCTCTTCAGGCAAGTCCGAATGCCTTGAAAAGTGTGAATAACCATCAGAAAAATCTTTACCTCTACCTTTATCATAATTTTCTCCGTGTATAAAGCAGCTCTGAAATCAACCCAGACAACATTGAGAACACTATGAAACACTGCTTTCTCCAAATAATAGAGAAAACCTCAAATTAATAACATCTTCTGAAATCCAAATTCACTGTTAAATTAGTAAAATGGACTGTATTAAACTAATAGAAAACATAATATTAAGATAATAGAAATCATAATGCCTGAAGACAAAACTACATGATAATCAAGACACACACGGAGTAGCATTAGTAGGTAATACCCTAAAGGAACTTCCAGATTTGCTTTACTCGGGGCTTTGTCAGTCCTTAGATACTGATTTTGGAACAAAATCAATAGTAGAGAAAAATCATTTTTAGATCTCCATATGTCTAGCCTTTTCAGTTCTTGGCAGAATGGAAAAAATTAGCATTTCATGATTTTTTTTTTAAACCTGCTGCACGTTATTATACAAAATTTAATATTAGATATGTTGAGATGTTTGCTACATCAGCACTCCTTGAAAACCATCAAAGCCATACCAGTCACACGTTAGAAAGTCAAAACAGCTGTATACAGTTTAATGATTATAACAATTGAGAAAGACAGCAGTAGATCTACATAAATCAATTGTAGATGTCATATTACCTTTCAAATATGTGTGGGTCATGACTTGTGAAAAAAAATGTCTTTTAACAGGTTACCTCTGACAGAATTAAAATTATATACAGAAATATTGTCATGTATCTGCAGAACAATGACCAATGAGCACCTTAATTATCCAAAAATCGCTGTTCAATTAGAATACAACTTAACACAAAGATAAGAAAAAAATGCACTTAAATTATTAAAACTTTTTACTTCAGTTTTACTTAGAAATCCCAAACCAATAGCAATCATTGAGTCACACAGACATCTCCATTCAGTTAGAGCTATAACACAAAAACAAAAAAACACCATAAAGATAGGGAACATCTTCACAAAGTCAGTCATTCATTCCATCTCCCATTCAGTAAATCTCAAACAAGACTGCTAAAACAAGGAATGATAAAAAGGGAAAATGCATTAACTCTTAAGAAAATATTTGAGTGGTTTGTAATGCAGCTTACATTTAAGCACAGAACGAAAAAATGGATTGGTGCACTCAGCTGGAAGCATCGAACACCCTTTTCACTAACAGCAAGTTAAATGGAATTTCACTGTTGGTTGAAATGGTAGATGTCCATACCCTCATGGACAAAAGTATTGCCAATTGCATGAGTAATCTGCTCCCCATTGAAATGGATATTCTTATTACTTACATCAGTATTTGTAGCTAAGATAAGCCAAAAAGTATGCCAAACTGCAGAAGGGAAACAATTTCATTTTTCCATACTACAAACTGCTTTTTCTTCTGTGATGAACATTGGTTTATATTTTAACTGGAATATTGTATATAGAGGAATAATCACAATTTAATCAAATCTCTTCTCAAAAGCTTCTTAAACCTAAGTGCAAATCCCCAGCAAGCTAACAAGAGCTTAGAAATTGTGCAAAGCAGCAAAACATACAAGAACAATATTTTGGAGGCTAAAGGGAGAGAGAAAACAAGGTATTTGAGAAGGTTTTCAGAATTAGTATTGCATAGAATTTGTACACTTACTTGATAGCTCAGTGCAACAAATACAGAATCAAATAATAATAGTAATGATTGGCCTACAGATGTGGAAAGGGCTGAACAACCATCAGAACCCCAAATAGCTCAGGTCAACTCTCTCTAAACTATCCCAGACAGATTATTAACTCATTCTTAAAAATAACAAACTCATTCTTAAAAATAACAAACTTCACTGGTTAATGCTCCAATTCACACACAAATCTGATGATTCTCAATTCTACTTGATAATTCACAGAGCTCTTTTTTGCACATGAATAACACCGTTAGTGTGGGGGTGTCAATCAAATCCCATCTGCTGACTGTGAAGGAAATCCTCACCTCTCCCACCTGTTGATTTAAACCTCAGCTCTGAGCAACGTGAGCATGTTTTACATTGCCTCCTCTTTAACACCTCAAATGTTCATAGTGCAGAGCTGTAGTTAGTTATGCGGCCACCTCTATGCACAAATGCATGGCACGCGAGTGTGGGAATGGTTGGGGTGATTCAGGCTCTGGACTGCACATAGAAGCAAAATTTAATCATTCTAATTCTTACAGATAGAGAGGAGAATGACCCATTTTCTCAGCAGCTAAAAGACAAAGCTGTTGTAAGGCTATAAAGATGATTTAAGAGTACATATCGGTTTGGAGAGAGAAAAATTCTGCAAGCTCAGACAGTTGTAAAATTGCCACTTTATGGCTGTGTCTGCTCTGCCAAATTTAAGAGGCCACAATACCTGTATTATTGTATTCACAGTGTTTAGCTTATATTACCAGGTCTTTGCAATCAAGTCTAATGTTTAATGTCACAGAACTTCAATAATGAGACTCTTTATCAATAAAAACCAAACCAAACAGCAACAAAAAACAAACAAGAATAGTTATTTCCAAATATTACAGGAGGCTCAATAATAATTAGTTGAAAACTGAAGACAGATAAATGATAAAACGTCCTTGCAACTTCTGGTTCCCAAAGAATCCATATAACTGGCTTTCTCTTCCCCTCGAGACGGCAACGTTTTAATTATATCAGCATCAGTGCATTACGCTACAAAATGCCTTAGTTTCAAGAAAACATGCATAGACTAGAATAACAACAGACAAGAACAGAATCTTTGCAACTGTCTGGCCATAGAGAAAACTAGATTCACTGAGGCTTGGCAATTGTGAAATTGGGTAGAATTTAACTCAAGAAAAGACTCAGTTAATTACTGGAAATATCATAAAGATCGGACATGTTAAATGCACAGTAATTGCCAGGGACAGAAAGGCAGTTCAAGATAAAAGTAAATTCTCCTGGGTGCTGCCTTCCCATTTCTTCTCCACTAGCTTTGGGTTTGTTTTCTTTCTCTTTGCATTTACTTCAGGAAAGCAGGTTTCGCTCTCGCTTTCCCTGATGGACCTCCCTGCCAGGCTTCTGCAGTGACACACAGACATTTCCCCATCCCGACAACCGGCCCCGGTGGAAGCAGAAAGCCGCGGGTGCCCCTTACCTCCCGCACGAGGCGGCGTGCCACAGAGCAGCACAACTCCCTGCCCCTCTCGCACCGACACCGCGCTCCTCATCTTCGTCCGGGAGCTCTCAGGATCTGTTTTTGAAAAAAAGATGAGCTGGATGTTAGGAGACAGAAAGGCAAAGTGCACAGGGTTTCGTGTTCTCTAGCTCTTGGTATCGACTCTCCGGATGCCAAGAGGTTCAGCGATTTCAGCAGCGCACAGCAGAAGAAATGGCTGTTCTGCACAAGTGAGGATGACAGAATTGGGACTGAAGTGAAATAATTTAAAAGAACATAATGAACAGATCCTATGGGTAACTTTGTTCTTACGCTAGGCTTACGCCACCCTAATTATGCTAACTAAAAAGGAGTCATAAAAACGGGTCTTTAAGCCACTGTTTCTTCTGAAATGAAGGCTCTGATGAAAATAGCATCACAATCCTACTGAGCTCCTTAACCAACTGTATGTTAATGCTAATAATGCAGCTATAGGGAAGAAGGATGCATGTCTTTAAACAGAAAAAAACCTCAACCACCTCCCCACGGGCAGCATTATCAGGCTCATCCCTTGCAGCATGGCTAAGGTGAGCGCCTTGCTCCTCAGCATCCTGACCTGGCACCCGGCCTGGTTTTGGGTCTCCTGGGATCATTTTAAGCTGTATAAGAGGGGAAACAATTGCTGCTGGCTATGCATAAATGCAAAATTGTAGAGCAGTGGGATTTGTTATAACTTTAAATTAACTTTCACTCTAAACTTACGACTCAAGATCTGAGAAAGTATGGCCTCATTGTAACCCTGAATTAAGCTGGATATAACCATCAATATGCACTGACAGTGAGGTTCTACCCTAAGAGAGACTTTTCCCCGAATAATCTCATAATAAAGCCAAACAGAACACACTTCAAACAGCACTAAGTCAGCTAGTAATCTAAAACAGTTTTGTCTATAACTTTATAAAGGATATTAATACGTACAGATGCTCAAAAACCTCGAGGTGTCCTTAAAATAAGTCTGGCTTTATAACAAAGCATAACAGCAGTGAATTGACCAGCAATAGCTATTTCACAAAACGTAATATTTTTTAATATTGAAAAGCAACAGCTGCTACAGCCAGCACACAGTGATTAGAATTTCAATGCTTCATTAAAAAAAAATAATACATTTATTGCCACAATAAGATATTGTTCTGCTATTCTTTGTTACTGAACATAGGAGGGTTTCTTAAAAGGGCTGCTTTCAGCTTTCCAGCTGAATTTCTCTGCAAATGCATTTCAAGGACCAATGTCTTCTCTCACATAATAAGTTTGCATCCTTCAGCTGGACGTGTTTTGGAGTTTGTAAACAACCACAACTGAACTGATTTTTCTAAGAGATCAAAATAGTTCGCGCCACAATTTGTTTCATGCCTGGTAAGCATCCTTCTCTTCCCTCCATCATGATATAAACACCATAGCCCTCCTGAACGATTCCACCGTGTCACGAAGTGGGGAACAAAAAGCACCCCCAGTACCTATATCCCTGCTGGGCAGCAAAAGGATGGCTACAAAAGCCCATGCTGCGTTGTGGAGCACCAACCAGAACAGGCAAAGATTTCCAACGACACCTTCACTTGCAACCTTGTGACTTTTCCCTTCTCGGATTATAGACCTTTGTTTGCTAGCATACCCCAGAGCAGGAAAGACATGCTACTCCTTATTTGGACAAAAAAAGCTATGCAATTTGGATTTTAAAACTCAGAAGTATATGTAATTAATGCATAAAATGAACAGACTGGATTTTACCCCCTTACACACAACCGCTACAAGTCGTAAATCTTATGTATTGCTTCTGTAATTAATATGAACTAGTTCATCACTGCTTTCTGAGCGTGTACGTTCATTTATTGCAAATGCAGCTCTTTAGAAACACAGCTGTCTCTGTGTCCAACACACCATGGGACTAGGCTGGTGCAAGTGGGAAGGGAGCGACGTGGGGAACGCGTGCTCCGACGCGCACGGTGTGACCCCGCCGGCACCCTGCTGCGACCCAGTCTGATCTGCTGCAGTTTTGGGCTGCAACAGGTATTCATCACTGATTGCAGGTGAAGACTGGTGTCATGGGGGAATATTTTTTTTGGGAAATACGAGGCAAGCAGAATCCATCAGAAAACAAAGAATATGAGCCCCATTACAATGAAAGAGTGATTTTTCGTTAATTAGCAGGAAGTTCTCAGTCGCACCTTGCAGAGCGCTTGAAGTACCAGACTAATCAGACAGCTGCAGAAATATCATCACTTAATTCATTTAGATACCTTCGTGATCACCAGCACTGGCTGCTGGCACTTCAAAAATAATTATAAATTACCACGGAAAATAGCACCAATATCATCTATTAGTATTATGCAACAAAGTCCAAGCCTCTGACCTTGGAAAGTGTTTCTTGCTAATATACAAGATTCTGGTCGGATTTTCAGGGGTCTCTGTAGCATAATTCAAAGTATTATAAAGGTCAAAGCCAGACTTTCTCTGTGGAACAGCAGGAGATATGTTTAAATAAAGCCAGTAGCCCCAAAGCAGTAACATGAGGGAGTAGTGCTGTATCTTCTTACAAAACCAAATGCAATTGAATGAAATCAATGGCAAGGAATATTAAGTTCCCATAAAACTGATGGGGTAAACAAAATACTGTAAAATGTGGGAAAATAATGGAAATGATTTTCTTTTACAAATTGAATCGTTTCTCTGAAATGATGGGCTCATCCCACAAATGTCTTAATAGGTCAAACACAGCTGGAAACAAGGAATGAAGGTAAGAACAGGACAGAGGATGGCTTTGGGAAGTCTTCGGGACGTGGTGAGTCACAAAACAATGCAGTTTTCAGCATGTTTCTGTGCAGTGCTATGCAAGACGAGGAAAGGCCCAGAGTAGGCCCCTGCCTCCTCCTTCAGAAGCAGCGATGGCCGTGCCTTGCGTCACCTCTGGCCAAAGAGCTCCCAGATGGAGGAGCACTGCAGGAGGCACTGATCATCCAATACTTACTGACCAAAAAGTGGGGAGAAGGGGTGTTTGCTTTGCTTCGTCTCCCATCTGGCCTTGGTTCTCCTCTCTCTTCCCGTAACTTTCTATTGCACCCCAGCACAACACAGGATGGCAACAGCCCACTGTCCTGTGTCAAACAGTGTATGTCTGCATTTTATCTATTGATAGATGGATGTTCTTATTCGTCACTGTATGTGTACAAAGGTTTTATCTACTTTCTCAAGCTGGACACTGAAATTAAGTGTTTTAATTAGCTTCGCTTGCCTACATCTTTTTTAATTGTTCCTTGTGTTTGTTATGGCCCACTTTTATTTCCTTTCATCTGAAATGTTATCATTCCAGTAGGAAACAAGCAGCTTTATTACATAACTTGGTCAGGTAAAATCTCTAATCTTAACACTGAAAATAGTTTGGTAAAAATATTATAGAGTCAGTTTTTACAAGAAATAACATTCAACTTAAAACTAATCTAGAACACTGTAACGTGAAAAGTAGATATTTTTATTCTAAATGTCAAAGTATAAAAAGGCAATAAAGCTTACAGTTTGCAACTGAATCATTTTGGATTCCTGTAACAGCATTGTCCTCTCTGTTCCCCTAATACCTGCATTTGCCTCATTGCTTTAAGTACATGAAGTTGCATCAACTGAAATACACACACCACTGTGATAAAATGGAACAACAAAAAAAAAAGTGTAATTCAGGTTTATTGGGAAGACTTTTGTTCATTTCAGGCAGCATAATCAAATGTGTTCTTGTTCATACAAACAGCAAGGATATAGAACCTTCCTATCCCATTGGCTTCTCTCCAGTCAGGTTTCAAGCCTCAAGCACGATGCTAAGAAAGATTTCAGAAATATGGAGCAAAAGTATCACATGTACCATTTATACTGCTACTACTCTGGAATAAGAAGTTCACTGATACCTGTCATAATTATAATAAAGGGGTATTTAGAATTAGGTATGGCAGAGCATACAGAACCTGAAGCATGTTGTAGAAGGTAAAATGTGTTCACCTGCTGTCAACAGGTTAGGAAGAAAAAAAAGTGATGTCCTGGAGATGAACAGGATTTCCACCAGGTTTCCAACTCCATGTCGCCCAGAAGCAACCAAACATCTAATCACATTTAGATCAATTGATATTTATTGTCAACACACGTTTATTAGCAATTCTACTATGTTTTGATAACTGCAGAAAAATGGTTCGTGCTCTACAAACAAAAGCGTCCCCTGACAGACAGAAGAAATACGTATTCCATTACTTTATTAGACTCATTGTTCAATGCAGCAGAACTTGTTAAATATATTTTATATATAATTTTCTACTGGTATGATGTTCAAGTACCTCAAACGAGCCAGAGATCCAAATCTTAACTGTTTCCTTCAATATATAATTCTAAAGGATGAACTTTGTTCGATGTCAGCACATAATTAAGTACTAATTTACAACCAGGTCGCCTTGGTACAAGTCACATTATTTAAAAAGAAATGAAATACCAATCTCTCAGCTCTCAAGAATAACAGCCTAAGCACATTGTAATAGCTATGCTGGTAGTGACAACTTCTGGAGAAAATAAGATAAATCTGTTTCTTTTTTGAAAGTGCTTTCCCACCACCTACATTGCTTACGCACACAGACATTCCCCGCTACTCTATATCCCAAACTTGGCTCTATCAAGGCATTTCCAGGATCATTTTATACCTCGAGACAGATACTAGCAACTCAATGTATACTTGACATAATTTTAAGCTCCTTAAAAATACTTCTGTCTGCTTAGGAAAGGAGAAAGGAGCTGGGATACGTGCTCGGTTAGCCAGAACACACTGCCTGCAGAGCTACTGCACAGGAACAAGTGCAATACATGTAGAGCTGCACGGGGGGAAAGCCAGTCCTTCTGCTGACTTCACTGGATCAGGCCTGTAAGAATAATGTGGGGAGGAGAGAAAGGGAACAAAAATTATCTCTATAATCATCAATTATTGTTGGGAGGTGGAAAAAAAAAAAAGAAAAACATTAACAGCACAAAACTGAACACTGCTGAAAGCACACGGGAACTGTGTGCCTTGTCACTGG